CTGAAGGATGTGAAAGCGACGCATACAACAACAATTAATCTCTACAAGAAATAACTCTTGAATTTGCTGATGAAGATTCTCTGTCATCCAGGTGGAATTAGCTGGAGGCTGATTCATGATGGGCCGAAGCCGACATCACACCATTTGTCCAGACTAACTTTCTACCCCACGCCTAAGCCTCAAGACCAACAGCCGCCTAAGCCAGCTTCACGTCTTCCTCGACAGAAACTGCCAGTAATTTCTGTCCCTACTCAACAGCTGAGTTTAGATCTGCCAGATCGAGACCCAACGCCAGTGTGCAAGCAGGCGCCCCTTGCTCCAATCCCACCCGCCACAAAGCTGTTGGATTCTCAGCTCCTGCACACCAAGACCAGGAAAACAAAGGCTTTTAGAGAAGCACCCAGTCTGACCGAGGCCGGTATCCGGCCAAATGAAACGTCAACAGCCATCAAAGCCTCTCCTTTGCTTCAGGATCCCTCTTCATCTCCCCCATACGAAGGGGAGAGGGAGGAGGCAGCCCGCTGGACCTCAGCGAGGAGAATTAAAGTCTTTTTGGAGCGAGAGAGAGAAATGGATATCTCTTTCCAGTTTGGTCACCCAAACGTTGGCTCTCCTTGGCGATAGGCCACTTCAGTCTTTCCCTCTGGAAGATTCTGGGCAGGGAGCTTAATGCAAATTGAAGAGGTTGAGTCCTGGCAACTGGATTTCTTTTCCTTTGCTTTGAAATGTTTTGCTGCTTGCCCAAGCAGCTTCTTCAGTCTGGCAAGTTGGTTGGGGGGCCCCATCAATGTCTTCCAGGGTGGCTGCATTCCTGACTTTTCCGAGGTGACTCCTCAAAGTTCTTCAGCTTCCCCTCACCCTTATGTTTGCTCTGACCGCTGTCGGATTTCTTCTTGTCTCCCCAGGTTTTCAGAGCGGCTGCATCCTGCTTCTTTTCCTGGTGAGTTGTTGCCCCAAACGACTCTTCCTGATACAGTATTTTGACCTTCGTTCCTTGTACAAACAAGCTATAATCAGCTCTGGTCTGCACAGACGTTTCATCAGGCTGTTTGGTAGCATGACGTGCAGTCAAGGAGTCTGAATGCTGGCCTCCTCTAACCTTTGAAAGGTCCTTAGGAGACCTGTAGAGACCAACAAGCTCTCCTTTGCCTCGTGATGTGGGCATTGGTGGTAGCTTGCCCCTTGAAGGATCCGCATGAGCCTCAGTAGAGCTTGCCATTCCCAGAGTGCCAGTGGCCAAACGTGGGAGATCCTGGGACTGGTCTCCATCACGCCGGGGTAAGGCAGTTCCCGCAGCATTGTCCGGAAGGGAGAATAGAGAAGGGCTTTCTTCGAACACGATGCCTTCGGTTGTCAGGACATCGACCAACTCCGTCAGGAGCTGTTGTTGCACCTGGAAATCACCGATATAACCCATTAACAGGGTTCCTTCATGTTCTGAGCAAGAAGGAGATGGGTAGTGTTTCTTCTTGAGCTCAGCTTGAACATCCATCTCTGAAAGAAACAAAAACGGGACCTATGATTGGAGGACCCCAAATCTCTTCCAGTTGGCTGAGACAAAATGGGAACCACTCTTAGGTTCCCATACCTCTCCCACCTCCACATTTGCCCCTGCTCGACTATGAAAGAAGGGAAGAAAGGACTGTGTGCAGCCTCTGCAGACCTTTTCTGCCCGTAGCAACTTCCTTCTCGGTTCACAGCGTCAGAACAGGCAATCTGCAACCTACAAGCTTGGAAAACTTTGCAGAACTGGCCCAAGGGGGGAACACGAGGCCAGTAAGGACTGGCAGGAATGAAGCAGAGATTACTTTGGAGAACATCCGGGGGGATCATCAGGATGAAGAGGTGCTTCTTCCACCAACCTCTCGCAAATGTTCAGAGATGTGGTCTCATCATCTCTGGGAGTAATCCAATTGCCATGGTACAGGACAGCATGGCTCCCTTCCCTCCCTTGAGGTCGACTGCTGCGTGCCAGTGAACCTCAGTCAGCAACTGATCAGGTACGCCCAGTCAGGCTGGACTCATCTGGCAGACTGAAAATGGGTGAGTGGTTCCCCAGGTTCCCTCCTCAAATACCGGGAACCACGCTGGAAGGCAGCTTCTTAATCACTCACCTTCTGCGTTAAGATGTAAGATTTTTAAGAAGTTTGCTTTAAGATTAGTTTTAGGTTTTATGTGTCGTAACTAGGTATATCAACTAGTTTTTCTGACTTGGGTCTGGATGGATGTCGATTATTTATGGGGGATTCGTCTCAATGCATTGCATCCTCTACAGCCCACAGCAAAATTTCACGCATTTTGGAAGAGCGTGATGAGACTGTGCACCTTCAGGCATCTTGCAAGGGATCCTCCCTTGGCAGGTGGACAATTTCCCCATCTGCAAGACTTTGGCACTCACCATTCAGCCCACACTAGTTGCCATGGGCTTGCTTTGATGCCTCTTGGAGCAGAGACTGGTCCTCAGTTTGAGGCTCTCTCAGCCTGGAAGGACCCCAGAAGCGCTTGACTAGCACGTGGGTCCTTCCTGCTGCCTTGAGCAGGGAGCAGGAGCAAACTGATGGTAGGAAAGGTGGGTTTGCTGCCTGAAGCAGGTCAGGTCTGTGGGTAATTCCTGGAAGCAAGTCTGCTCAGCACTCACCTTGCACGCCAGGAAGGATTTGAGGCATGTTCTGATAAACAGATGCTAAGGATGAAGCAGGAGCGCAGGGGACCTCAGGTGTCCTCACATAGTGATGGAGGGGCCTCGGGTAATGCTCGCTTCTGGGCTGAGCAGGTGCTCCGTGAAGATGGTCAGGCCGGGAAAGGTGTTGTTCCCCATCGGGGGCTCCGACCTCTGAAAGAGTCAGACAGAGAGGAACCGAGTGAGACAGAGGGACTCTTCTACTTCAAGTGAGCGCTGCCGTGGTGGAGGCAGCAAGCGACCTGAGTGCCTTGGAAGTTCTCCTGCACAGTCCCATGGAAATTACTGAAAAGGCAGAAGAGGATGGCGTTGTCACTTCAGGGAGGTCTGTGCAGCATCATTTCCAGATGGGTTTTCTTGGCTGGTTGGCACAGAGGCAGGAGCACGGGTTGGACTGCTGCCTGACACTACTCCATATGTGCGCCAGCTCCCTCCCTCCAACCCACCTGGGCATCCGTGCCAAGTGACAGGCTGTGGCCCACCAAAGCCTCTTCGGGTTATTGGTGGAGACATCCCAGAAGAGCCCCTGCTAGCATTGCACTGAAGTCCTGTAGGACTAAGTTTCCTGGAGTACACTATAGAGGTAGAGAAGAGAGAGAGAGGGAGGGAGAGAGGGAGAGGGAGAGAAAAATCATTATTGAAATAAAATCAGCACTCGGTGCTTTATAAAGGCAGCCAGCGTGATAAAAATCAGCAATCAGAATAAATAATGCATGGTCCTATCCAGTCTGAGAAAGGCTGTCCTTATTATAATGAATCAAGCAAGCATTTGCCCCAGAAATGGCAAAACGTAATATTTTGAAGCTTTATGTTAAGAGAAACCCAAAGTGAAAGAATGACCAGCACACACCTTTGGGGTCTGCAGGTGAGGCGTCCCCACTGCTGGGTCTTGCTGGTCCTGCTGGAACTGAGGTCTGAGAGATGTGAGGTTCC